CACACACACACACACACACACACACACACACACACACACACACACACACACGTACCACCAGTTCTTGGGCTCAAAAGCGTGACTCTCGAAGCATGCGATGATGGTGATGTTTCCGTCCGCGCTGCTCCCGTAGACGGTGGCCACGCCAAACTTGTAGTGGGAGGCGATGTACGCCGTCACCGCTGACTCAATGGCCGCCCGCCACGACTCCGCTCGTTGGTCCACTTCCGCAGGTTGAACATCCTGCCGGCCAAACAGTTCAATTTACTTGGTGTAAGAGTTTTACAGCACTTGTAGCATAGCTAGGTCATACAAGTGGCCAGGGTTACAGGTACTACTAGAGAGTTGAAAAGTACATTAAAAAACAGGAAGACAGATAAGGTTGACAAAGGTTTGAAAGAAAAGAAGGCCCAAACCACAGCAGAGCACCCGCCAACCATCCACTGACAAAGGTTTGAAAGAAAAGAAGGCACAAACCACATCAGAGCACCCACCAACCACCCACGACCCGCGGGGCAAAAGAAGAACGGTGCAGACTTCATCAACTCGTTTTTTCCATGGGCACATTTCTTCACAAAATAGGAAATCCCCAACTTTACAAAACAGTGGTAAAAACTGTCCACACTTTAACCGTTTCGCACTTACAGTGCCCGTATGCGCCCGCGCCGGTGACCCCCGCTCTTCCCTATAGCGCCCGCCACGAGGGTGTATGTTTCGTTGCCGCGGGAGGCTTCTACTTTTACTTTCATCAGAAGTTTCACTTAGCTATCTTTATAGAGGAAGATTTCCGGTTTACTCTGGTGTTTTTCTTGTTTCGCTAGCACAAAGAGTCACTTTTTGAGCGGGAACAAAAGTCGGAGGAGATTTTATTTGTAAACACGCCATCACGTCTCTAGGATGCATGGGCGCAAAACTGCCCGATATGAGTACGACAGAAACAAAATAAAAACAGCCAAAGAAAGGTCTTTTAGGTGCTTTCAAGTTTCCACCAGACGCTTCAATCTCTGTGAATGTGTTGTATTTCTTTTGTGTGGAGTACCTCTTTGTCAGTGGCAGAAACTTCGTGAGTTGAAGAAATGTATACGAGGTCTAGAACTAGACTCGAAATCCAAGACACGCATCTCAGAAAGACCTCTCATATCATTTCATACTCTCCTATTCCACTTATAATTTTGTACTAGTAATTTAGCTCATTCATTTTCCTTTCAGAAAATACTATTTTCATCATTTTTGGTTGTGTTTGTGATTTTATACAATTTTTTTAGTTAGGTACCCCTTCAATTTTCATGGAGTGTTTGCCCTTGTCTGAAGGACTGGGGGCCACAGCTGGCCACGCCTGCTAAGTGCGAAAGGGTTAACTAAGTACATCCCCACAGAGTACATGAAATACCTGCCGAGGCACATTGCCAACAATTTTCAAAAGCACATGCAGATTCCTCCCGACAACAGCCGTAATGTACAACAAACACAAATATAGAAAGACAAACCACAGAAAAGTTCCCCCAAACCGACCTCACACCCGATAGTAAACATACAGACCTGTTGCCGACCTCACACCCGCCAGTAAACATACAGACCTGTTGCCGACCTCACACCCGCCAGTAAACATACAGACCTGTTGCCGACCTCACACCCGATAGTAAATATACAGACCTGTTGCCGACCTCACACCCGATAGTAAATATACAGACCTGTTGCCGACCTCACACCCGATAGTAAATATACAGACCTGTTGCCGACCTCACACCATATACCTGAGCGGCATTTTGTCTGGGAGCACCTCACCACATACCTGAGCGGCATTTTGTCTGGGAGCACCTCACCACATACCTGAGCGGCATTTTGTCTGGGAGCACCTCACCACATACCTGAGCGGCATTTTGTCTGGGGGACACCTCTCTACATACCTGAGCCTCTTTCCTCAGGTGGTCGTAACGGAACGTTTGTTTGGATCGAGGATCCAGGAATCGGTTGTTTCCTAAGTCACCATGTTCTGTTATAAGCACCTGCAATTCCAAAAAACAAATAACAATTTTAAAAAACATAACATAAAAAAACCACCTCCAAAACAGCAACAACTCCCAGTAAATGCTGACAAAAGTGGCCACATCCCCTTGGACTAAAAACTTGCACATGGCACACGGCTTGGAAGGAATCATTTCCCCATCAGATGGTGTAAAAAAAAAGCAACAGATTTTGTCAGTTCGTCATTTTGAGGTGCTGGATCAATTAATGTTGGTAATATTCTTGTCTTACAATACGGCCATCAACATTCAAGATGGCAGCTCATTTTCACAGTAACTGCGTTTACAAACCCCCCAAAAATGAATTTTTATTAGACACTGAGAAACATGATATGGCACTAACATTTTAATAAACAAGGACAATACACAACAATGGTCTCAAGGCAACAAGCAGAATTGATCACCTGAAAATCTGAACCTTCAATTTTGCATGGCGTGAACTGATCTCTGTTGTATTGTGCAAAGGCTCTGAAATGAAACAACGATATTGTCAACAGAAATACGAAGCCATACAGACACCTCATAGGAGCATCATTACTTGATTGGGAAAATTATACTATTCCTACAGATTCCAATATAAGAACAGTCCTTACTTTGAAGCTACAAATCAGAAGTTTCAATAATTCAAAGGCCGCTCCACAAGCTATTAGATCCTGTGCCACAATCTTGAGCATTTTCCAAGGTGTCATACTACTCATACAGTATTGCTTTGTACTTTTTAGAAAAAAAACCCATTTTCATATCAATTTGTTCTACCAGTGCTTCCACCAGCTGAAGCTGACAAGTAAGGAAAATTCTGCCGGGGGTCAGAGGGCCGCAGAGGCCCCCAGCAGGGTCCAGGGACAGAGTCCCGGTGGGGGTTCAGGGAGCGAAAGCCCCGAAAGAAATGGAAATTTAGTACTTTTAGAGGGTTGAAAATGGCAAAGCCTGTTTGAAGCGACTGCCGGCGAACCAGAACATTGATTTTTCCCCAACATTCTGTCTTGGTTGATTTCTTCCCCAAGATCTACACAATATATTTCCATGGATGACAATGTTTTTGTTTTGTTTTGTTTTTCTAGTAGAGGTTTTACGGCGCTCGCAACTGCATAAGGTCATATGAGCGCCAAAAGATTAGAGGTGTTACAAGAGAGTAACAAACATAAAAAAGAAGAAGGGGAGATAAGGACGATAGATGTTTGATAGGAAAGAAGAAGCAAACCACACTAGAGCACCCGCCAACCACCCACCTGGCAATGTTTAAAAGTAATAAAACCAGGTTCCCGTTCCATTGCTACTATAATTCAATTAATTTGTCATCGCACCATTGATAGAAGGCAAACTTGGGAATAATGAATAGATATGTACCTTCACAATACAGTTACCGGCGTATACCCTAATTTTCCTCAAATTTCACTCCTGAATGTCGCATGTCACAACCTCGGAACACCACTTCGAATTATTCTTGATTTTTTGTAGTTTTAGAATAAATTTCTTTCATTGCGGCCCTTATTGCGTTCCCGTGCCGTAGAATCTTCGTATTGATCATTTCTCTAGACCTAAACAAATTTGTAACAAAGTTTCTTTCTGATAGTAATTTTCTGTCTGAGATCACAAGTCAATTTACTCGATCAACGCGCAGATTTTCCAGTCGCGGCAACAATCCGAAGATAGACAGAGGGAATGAGGGAATGAGGGAATGAGGGAATGACAGAAAGGAGGAAATTGGCACAAAAAGTTCGCCAGATTTTGATCAATCCACAGGTAAAAATGTACTGCCGACAAGCCCGCAATGGGGCATAGCGGAAGAATGGCCGATGGCAGGAAAGGCGCATTCTGGCAGGTTTCTATAACAAACTATTACCGAAAGAATTACCGTAACTTATACTAGACTAGTTCTAAGCGATACGAAGGCGAGTACGGATCTTTAGCTACGGAATTTTGGTAGTCCTACACTGTCGCAGCTTTTTACGGAGGGTGTTGATAATGATGGAGGAACAAGTATGGAACTGGCAGAAAGTACGGATTTCCGTAAAAATAAGGAAGAGTGGAAGCACCGTCTACACATGTCGTAAATATGCTGCAGTACGCCAGTAGCTGCACAAGAAAAACATTCTATTTTAAGTATGAATTATATTTTTTACAATAACGAAATGTAAAGAAATTTCTGCTATTTTAGCGCATTTTAGCATGTCACTGAAACCAACAATGGAATTACTGTCAACTGCACATTTCTGAATTGAGTCTTTAAAACTTTATTGGTACCGAGTGTAAATTATCATGCATTTTATCTTCCATCATCTCAGGCATACACATAAATACGTTGTGGGGCTCAATGTTTTCCTCAATTTGGATATTTCGATGCGTCTGATGAGCATAAATGTTGTCATCATACAAATTGCCCATTTTGATGACTCCTAGACACACTTTTTTTTTCAGTAAGAGACTTAAGGCACTTGCAAAACAATAAGGTCATGTAAGTGCCGAAGGTTAGAGGTGTTACAAGAGAGTAACAAACATAAAAAAGAAGGAGGAGAGATAAGGACGATAGATGTTTGATAGGAAAAAAGAAGTAAACCACACCAGAGCACCCGCCAACCACCCACAGACACACTTTGAGCAATAAGAAGCGATTATAAAAGGGAAATTATACCAGAGGTTTCCAGTGGAAGACAAAGAAAGTAATCTTTGTACATCAAGATAATTTCTAGAAAGACACTTTACGTCCACTAATGAAACCCAACCCATGGAGTCATCATGTGGATCAGACGACCAATCAGAAGTGTATTTTGTAGTATGAGAGTACTATTGTCAGACTGGACTGGCAAACAGCTCTGACCAGTTTGTTCACACAGCGCCTCCACATTTGAGCCAAGGAGAAAGATGAAAAGCAAAAATATTTCTGTGTCATGATCTAGGTCATCAGTGTTCTGCTTGTCGGAGATCTGGTAGTTGTGTACGTTGAGTGAGTCACTGGAATGCAAAATGCAGCCAGATGTAGAGTTTTAAAGTAGATTGAAGCTACAACTGGCTTATGAGATGTGGTCTTCTTTGACGTGTGATGATTCAACAAATTTTGTTAAGTAAACGAGTTAACAAGTCGTAAATAACGCATTGACATCCTATTAATAATTATTACCAAAGTTAGGGAAAAGACTCATGTCAACTTAAAGTAAACAACCCCCCCCCCCAAAAAAAAAAAAAATTGCATATAAAAAGTACAAATGCAACTCACCCTGAAGCGCCTTCCTTCAGCAGAGCGTCATCGTCAAGTAGTATTCTCACATCTGAAAAAAAAAAAATTAAATTAAATTAAAAACAAAATTTTTATAACACAAATGAAAACTTCGAAAAGAAAAAAAAAAACTGATACCACCACAACACCTGCTAATACAGTGACTTAGTGCCAGTGTTTTTTACATTTAAAAAACAACAACATTTTTAAAGTCATTTTTCTTTAAAATATCATAAGCCAACAGATATGTGCAATGGTGTAGAACAGCATTTATTGCACATATCAAAATTTACCAATGGCATAAGGCTCAGCACATTTGCACTAGAGATATGGCAGGACTCAAAATAAAAATATATATATATTTGAACTGAATTTTACCATGTCACCTATAACACAAAAATGAGTGAGTTAATACTCGTGAAAACGAAGGAACACAAATTTTAGAACAACTGCCACCCCCCCTCCCCCATTTTAACTCTTTATCTCCGAGGGAGGGGGGTAATACAAACCCACTACGCCAGGGCCCTTTTTTGGTACTTAATCAAAAACTGACAAAAACGACACTAAATGAACCACTAAATTGAAACTAGCGAACCAATTATGATATGCTGTATCTAATGAATGAACTTCCGGTAAAAGAAATGCCGAAAAGTAATTTGATGTTGAAGTCGTGGTAAAGGAATGTGCCCGAGCCGCTGTCAGCGACTCACCAATACAGCAGTTCCGACAGCGAGCCGCTGGGAGCGGCTTGCCGGAGATAAAAAGTGACGTCATAGTTCGAATTTAACCCCACTACCCATGCCTAAAGGCTAGGCTAACAAACTATTTCACAACAAAATCAAAATTATTTTTTTTTTAAAACCCCACACATTTTCTATAATAATTTATATAGAGAGAGCTCTAGATATATGATCAAAACTATAGCCAGTTAGTGACCTCTGCCAGATAGTGATTTTATACACAGCCAACAATAATTCCCTTTTTCTTACTAAGTTAGCGTTTACAAAGAAACAAACTTTTGCCAGCTAGTGAAAGTTACACAATTATAAATATTCACTACAGCTTTTGCGTTTGCTGGTAAAGCAAGCCAGGGCAAAAACAATATCAGTGAAAGTCACTGCAAGCGACTTACCATTGAAGACTTCGTTGAACTCTCCCGGTGGGGCATGGAGAATGAAATTTGATGCAATCCGCACCTGAAATAGAAATCAACATTGGCAACTCAAAAACATGAACATTACATGCGTGTAATTTTGTTGCAGCAAACCTCGTATACCGCCTATCGATTAAAGTTGGGCAAACAGCAGGGGTATAATCGGACAACAACGATAGCCTTCTTGAATAGATATATATAGATTCGTAAAGGATAGAGAGACTAGAGGCTAGAGGAAAAACTCTAGCCAATCTTGCCTCGTCTAGCTCTGTCTCTTGCCATTGCTATGTGCAGGGGAAAAAACAAGTTGCAACCATTTACATGTACAGCTCCTGTTAAGCTTTTGTGTAAATTCAAACCCAAAGAATCTAGGATAAGAGGGCAGGTTGTCAAAGGCCTTGTAGCAGACATACAATTTTTTAATTACCAAAATTATTAATTGTGACACAAAAAGTAATTTCACTGATTTAAACAACAAACCTCTGAGGGGGGGGGGGGGTCACCGTTATTTGAATTTGCAGATTGTTGAGTTTTTCCCTGATCAAGCCATGCTAACAAGACAAGTTATGATGAAAGTGTGATAACTAATAATTTAATAAATGCCTAAATGGTATGAAATACTATAAGGGTGCCTTTATAATTGCAGTTTCCTACAGCCATTAAAAGTCTCTTTGCTAAAAGGCAGAGGACTTAGATTTGATCTTGAAAAGGATGGATCCTGACTTAATCAAGATGACTTTGAAAAAAGAGACATCAAAATAAAAAATCAAGAATGTAGAAGGGGAACATACACAGCAATAAAATAAGTGACAGCAGTCCTGTCTGAACTTACTGCACTTTTTATCATAGGCCTACAGACGTGATTTCAAACAACCATCTTTTTCCCACCTATCTTTTAAGACAAAAGAGCAAAATAAAATTTCTCTGAGCTATGTTGTGTCTCAAATGCAGAGTGAATCTAAAACCTAAATTGTGAACATCAGACCTGTGAAGGTTGTAACATTATGAACCTTAGATTAAAACAAATTAGACCTGCATAAGATTTAAAACTCTTTTGTCTTAGTAGGCCTACATTACGTGAAGTCATGCTGCTGTATTTCATCAAGCCCCTCCCCCCTCTTTCAAAGCTCACATTTTATTCAGACAAAAGAGGTGTAGGTAGCCATCCTATTATTCGTGATAATAATCATAATTTGATTTCACAACATCACAAGTTCAACTGCAATAAAACAAAAACTACAGAAACTACACAGATGCACATTGTCGTTGATCTGATGACCAAATCAAGTCTTCTCAGCAAGCTAACTAAACTGTCGCACAAGCCACAATCTGACATGATAAAAATCACTAGCCTAGCCTACTCTTTGACTTGACTTTGGTCTTGGTAAATCTAATGTCTAATTCAACCCATAGACTATAGTATAGAGGCCTGTGTTATTTTTGCCACAGGTAGATCTAGTTACCTAAACCTAAACATGTACTGTTTATTTTAGCTTAGACTAGACTAGGTGACTCACGCAGGCCTACTAGATCTAGATCCAAAAAATCTAGATCTAGACTTCTTAAGATCTATTACTTTCATAATATTATTCAATTAGAATCTAGAATCTAGATCTAGATTCTAGATCTATATTATATTATTAGATGGAAGATCTACACATCTGACCAAAAAACTGAACTGAAACCAGGAAGAACATCCCTTTTCCAAGTAGACTGACTTGCGGAACAATGACAAGACAAACATTGCATTCGACAAAAGTCGGTGTAAAAAGTCAAAACAAGCGAAAAATAAAATGCGTATTGAATACCAAGTACACCCACGTAGCATCAATTAGCAATAATTGACAAGAATAAATGCGGAAGTCACCAGAGCCAGTCAGTGGTTTCGCTGATCAACTGACCTGCAGTTTGCCACTCCCCTTCCTGATTTCAAAAACTTTACAACATACCTATACAAGCAAGTAACTTAGGTAAAAAGACCTCGGCAGGCAATAACCCGTCCAAAAACGATGCTCGATTAATGTTATCATAAATAACAAGTCACAGAAACACACAAAAAGCAAAACAATACCCTCTCCCGATCAGAAATAGGTTCATCGTCGGCCATTTTGATCAGTCCGGTGCGTGATCACAATCTCACGATACTTAGCGAGATACAAAACTATCACCGGAATTTGGAATATATGAAAGAAAATGCTAGATCTAGATTCTAGTTTTTATTTTTTTAATTTCAAAGGGACATAGTATAAGTATCTTATTGAGGCCAAGACTCATTTCCAATTATCTGCAACTAGATCTAGATATATGTACAAAATTTTGCTCAAAGTCGTTCTGAAATGTAAAAAAATAAACTATATGTAGATCTAGAATCTACTGAAACTTGTTATGACTTCAGCATAAATCATTATTGACATGTTTCGTGCTTGAATGATCAAAGGGAGAACACTCATTTCACCTGAATGTAGTTGCTTAGGACGCAGAGGTTTCACATTCTCCGTCAAAATTTATTTTAACAATATTTTGGTGATCAGTTGAAATGGCAACGAGCATTCCTTTGATATGAGTTACGCGGACGGAAGAACAGCTGCTAGAATCACTGACTTCCGAAATCAGTGAGTTGAGTGAGCTTCTGAGAAGCCCAAGATGAACGACAAACCACTAAGTTGCACGATAAAGCCCGCCGTCTGTGTCACAGCAGACACGAAAGGTTTTCATTCTGGCTGCAAGATTGTAGACATTTCCTTTCCAAGCATTGTGAACCCAGAGGTACCGTGAATTGTAAATTAATTAAATTTTTTTTGCTTTTTACTGATACGCACATTTAGATCTACTAGATCTAGATCTAGTTTCTAGATCTAGATATAGATCTAGATCTAGTGCCTTTAGATCTAGATATCTAGATGATCTTGTCTTAGATCTAGATCTAGATTTCTAGATCTAGATCTAGATCTAGAAATCTAGATTTTAGATCTAAATCTAGATCTAGATCTAGAAATCTAGATTCTAGAGATCTAGACTTAGATCTATATATCTAGAATCTAGATTTAGATTTCTAGATTTAGTAGTCTAGAAATATAGCCTAGATCTAGATTCTAGATCTAGATCTAGATCTAGATCTAGATCTATTCTGTAATAATAATAATAACGGTAGATCTATAGCCTAGCATAATTTGTTGAGTATAATTTTACAGCAGCCGCCTATTAATATTAAAAATGTTATTAAAATGACAACGAACATTCTCAATTGAGGCAAGAGGTGAGCATAACTGGAGTGCTTGGCTCTTTTTCGATAGTTCCCACCCTGCAATTATAATAATATTCGCCGGTTTTGGCTCCAAGAGTAGGGAGGTTTCGAAAAAAAGTACCAGCATTTGATATATAGGATCATGTGAGGCATCGTGGTGAAATAATGTCAGGCACTCGTCAAAATAATGAAGGCAACGCTATTTGCAACGCTGCGTTCTGAATAGTTCCCGTGCTATTTGCAACGCTGCGTTCTGAATAGCTCCCGTGCTATTTGAAAGCCAGTACAGTAGTCTCCGCCTAAGATCCCGGTGCTCGGGAGCAAGGAAATGCGGGATCTTAGGCGAACCGGGATCTTAACCAATGAACCCGGAGAAGAATCTATGGTGACCCATGTTAAGGCTCACAATCGGTAAAATGATCTCCCTCCACTCTACAATGAACTGGCGTGCCCCATTGGTGGGTTTATGGCATATGGCGAGCAAAGAGTGGTTAACCTTGATGACCTATCACGGTGCATAGTGGCACGAGGTGTGCCATTTTCACTTATTATCCTATCATGAGTCTCAAGATCTACGCTTATTCAGTTGCCCCTCCTCTTTACCTGTCAAAAATTTATAGCTTTCCATCTCTGACCGAGTCTCCGCGCCTTTGTTGTTACACACCATTACGTTGTGAACCCACCAATTAAAATTCAGTCCGTCTCGCAAATTCGGGAGTACAGACAACTGCTGCAATGGTCAAGGAAGAGTTCACGGTTCGATGTGATCCTACCTGGAGCGAACGTGTAGGCCCTACCTACCCAGCGAGTGATGTAAGTTTAGGTGGCGAGCTCAGGTCTGAGTGCGATGCTTGGGGAAAACTAACGCGTCGGTCAGTTCACACCCCGGTGTGATCCCGTCTGGGCAAACATTGTATCGCTTCATCGAGTTTTACGTGTATGTGATCACATTCAGGATAGTGGTTGGTCTTTGACGCGACGGACAGTCTATTGATCTCACTTTTCACTCTAGGTTGATCGGCTGTGCCCGCCCGGGTTTTTGTTTAGCAAATTATGATCTGAAATGCGGGATCTTAGCCGAATGTAGACCATCAGAGCGGGATCTTAGGGGTGACTTTTGTATAGTAAATATTCTGTTTTCCTAAAACAACGGGATCTTAAGCGAACCGGGATCGTAAGCGGTGGGATCTTAGGCGGAGACTACTGTACTAGATCTAGTACCTAGATCTAGATGTAGTAGCCATCGTTTCTACATGATAATATTGTAGTTCTGCCTGAATTGTGGAAGTTTTCTCAGTTTTTTGATAAACCTCCTAGGGTTTGAACTCCTTTTTTTATGACGTTGTCTTATTCCGATCAACATGGGTAGATCGAGATCTAGATTAATTAGATCTAACAATTGTTTCTGGCATTGCTTGCACAAAAGTAGACATCTTGTTCATCTCTCATATTCATTATAATCATTTGAGTTAGAGTTTGAGCAAGTTTAAGTTGAAAGAGGCTTGGATAACAATAGACGGTGCAACTCGAACTTTAAGTTAGGCCTAGAGAACGTATACAAGCTGTCTACTGTCTACATTCTCTACTCTAAGTCTAATGTTCAGTGCTTCCAAGCGTGGCATCGAATCCCGGTCCCGGAAGGGTTTTTTTTTCCTTCTCCTGAGCCTAAAATAAAAAAAATATAAAAAAAAGAAATTAGACTCACAGACCAAGGAAATTTTAAAGCCACTACTGAACTTTAACCAGGCCTAAATTGGTAAAAGGAAAAGTATAGGCTATACTAAGGCCTACTTTGTACAGAGCTCCCCTTGGGGACAAAACCAGAATGTGCATGCTCCATCACTACATTAAAATAAACTACAAAATACAAAGCAAAGATATAATTATGGGAACAATTTGTTGGTCAGTCGAGAAGAGGACAACAACAACAACAACAACAACAACAAAAATGCAAGAAAAGAAAATGTCCAGGACCGGGATCGAACCCACGCAAAAAAAATAATGGTTTGACTTCAAGCGCAGACGCGCTGTCACTTCGGCCATCAGAACTTCCGATAACGAAGTGCAGATTAAGCCTGATATTTTACACATGGCGACACAGCGTTTTATTTAACACTGGCGCTAATCGCAACGCGGCGTTTTATTTAGCACTGCCGCTAATCGCAACGCGGCGTTGCAAATAGGCACTTCCAATATAATGAAATAGAAAAAAAAGTCATTTTTCCACCAGTTTGGAAATTTTTATCAAAATTTCGGGGTTTTTTGCTCCAGACCTTTAATGTCCATATATAAGAACACAGTTCCATGTGAATTGTAGTAGAGAACATTGATTAAATGCCCGTAAAATATTCAGTTTTCAAAGATTCTCAAGCTTTTGAATTTACCAAACTTTGGTGGTGACCATTTTCTCGTTAATTTTACCTCTGAATCCAGGTGACCCCACCTCCTTCCATGGCTAATATCCCGACTTCTATTCAGAGTAGATGGGTATTTTTTTTGCCAAATGCAAGACAAACAAGCTTTTAAGATGATGTTTAAAGAACTATAGTCCTATTTATGCCCAACATTTGATGAGTGCCTGATTCCACCATGTCATGCCACATATATACAGACCGAGTAACTACACCATGTCATGCCACATATAGACCTAGTAACTAGAAATACAAAAACATCAATTTATGTCATTTTGAAAAAATACTTTAACATTAATCAAAGAAGTAATTCCCTTTCTGACGGAAGGTCAATTTGTGTTTGATTGACTATTTGAGATCCCCAGGAACAAAAGGTAGTGGTCAAGTTAGGGGTTGACAGTATATGTAATCAGATCTGTTTGGTTTTTTTGGAATATGATGAATTGTCGAAAACTAAATGCAAAAGATTTCTTTGCTTTGAAAAAATATGTTTAAATATCTGCATTTTTCGTTTTACAAAGCGTTTCTAATAGAAACAGTAGGCCTACAGTCTACAGCAAAAATACATGTTTTGATGAACAATAGGCCTACAAAGTCATTAATGGTCCTCACATGAGGCATACATGAATGCCAGATCATCATAAAAACATCGTCGTGCCTCACATTTTAAAGGATAAAATTACAAACGATGTTCATCATAGAGGTCAGGAAGGAGTTGGACTGTGTGATATTTGCTTGTGTCATCATGGATGCCATGATACCCTATTATTTATCATCAAGCATAGAAATCTCCTTGGGGTGGTCTCAAGAATGAAATCTCTACAGTCTATTGAGGGACCTATAATATTATATTATTAATTTGTGTATTTGAACTTGAATGATGTGCCTGCTATAAATTAGATGGGTTGAAAAATGTACCAACAAGTGCAAGTGTTGAGCCTTTATTGTCTTTTCAACTGGAAAATAAAATTATAATATACCCTCTATAAACTGCTTTAATATAGTATAAAAATTGGTGGTGTGAAAATGTAGGGTGTTGCCATGTTGCCAACCTTTTTGGAGTGTTATATTTATTAATTATTTTGCCTTCCTATAATAACATATATATAATATCTTAAGAATATATTTATGATTATATACGCCTAGATTTTGAAAATATAGGTTGCTGCCACCTTATAGGCCAGCCTTTTGTGAATGGCTCATAGTACGTATACAGTACCTATATATGTATTCTAAGTATGTGCCTTTTGTGAATGGCTCATAGTACGTATACAGTACTTATATATGTATTCTAAGTATGTGCCTTGAGTTGTAGAAAGGGAGGAGTAGTACCTGCGTTGATCATGCCCTTGTCCTGGGTCAGGTACTGGGATAGCTAGAGGGGGGAATCAGAACTGTGGCTGGAGCAAACGAGGGATGGGAATGACGTGTGAGCAAACGAGGGATGGGAATGACGTGTGAGCAAACAAGGGATGGGATTGACGTGTGAGCAAACAAGGGATGAGATTGTCGTGTGAGCAAACAAGGGATGGGATTGACGTGTGAGCAAACAAGGGATGGGATTGACGTGTGAGCAAACAAGGGATGGGATTGTCGTGTGTGAGCAAACAAGGGATGAGATTGTGGTGTGTGAGCAAACAAGGGATGGGATTGACGTGTGAGCAAACAAGGGATGGGATTGTCGTGTGTGAGCAAACAAGGGATGGGATTGACGTGTGAGCAAACAAGGGATGGGATTGACGTGTGAGCAAACAAGGGATGGGATTGTCGTGTGAGCAAACAAGGGATGGGATTGACGTGTGAGCAAACAAGGGATGGGATTGATGTGTGAGCAAACAAGGGATGGGATTGACGTGTGAGCAAACAAGGGATGGGATTGACGTGTGAGCAAACAAGGGATGGGATTGTCGTGTGAGCAAACAAGGGATGGGATTGACGTGTGAGCAAACAAGGGATGGGATTGACGTGTGAGCAAACAAGGGATGGGATTGACGTGTGAGCAAACAAGGGATGGGATTGTCGTGTGAGCAAACAAGGGATGGGATTGTCGTGTGAGCAAACAAGGGATGGGATTGACGTGTGAGCAAACAAGGGATGGGATTGTCGTGTTTGGTTTGCCCTGCTTGGTGTTGGGATGTTCAGCTGTTTGACTGTTTCACGTCGGGGGCCTCGTATGATTGCCTCAAGTGTTGCCAAGCTATCTTGCAGATGCAGGAGGAAAACTTTTTTGATATATATAAATGCGATGGATGTTATACTAAGCCTTTTCATAAACAGCCGGAGTTGTTGATGAGGCAATAAAAGTAGTAATTGGAATGAAGCTAGTGGTGAATTTGCACTAGATAAGATTATTGTTGTGCTTTTGGTAATTTTTAGCACGATAGGCCTACACCTGCCAAGCTTCAGAATAGAGTCAGGCCTGCCAACCCCCATGACCAAAAGTAGGAGTTTTTGGGTGTGCCACCAGCTCTAAAGTCATCGTGTGAGTTGAGTTGACAGAAAAGCCAAACATTTAATGTTAAAGTGTTTTAAATGCTTGTTAGAAAGTTTTACAGTGGTTCAGGTGCTTTTTCTGTGCTGCTCATAAAGGAAAATACCCTTCCCTGTGAAGGTGACCTGCTCTGGATTTCCCATTTGCCCTCCCGATCTTGTTCTTGGTGGTTGAGTGGCTGAAAGTGACAGGACCAAGTAACAGGACCACAGAGGCTTTGACGAGAAAGTGATCTCTTGTCTTGACCTTATCGTCTCCTCTTTGCCCCCCCCCCCCCAGTCCTTTCAAGGAGGAAAAAGATTTGGTTCTTCTGTCCTGTACGGGGGCTTGTGTGGGCTGCTATTTGTAGAGGAGTTTCCCTGGGGTGTGGTTTGTCAGTGTCAGGTACCCTACTGCGGAAGGATTTCTTACAGTACTGAAGGTCAGAAGTTCTCGTTTTAAACTTGGAAAAGAAAGAAATGATATTTGAGAAAGCTTCCTGCTCCTGTGACCTTATGAGTGGCCAGGTCTCTCAAGAGCAGTGGCTATCAGCCTTGTTGGAGGTCCTGAACCCTGCTAGTTTCTACATTCACAGAACACTGTGTGGCTATCAGCCTTGTTGGAGGTCGTGAACCCTGCAAGTTTCAGATGTACACCCCCTGAACACTTTGAGCGGGTGAATGGAACAGAAACACACTACGCAGTGCATGTGTGTGTGTGTCTTGACCGCACCGAACCGCTGAGACTGGCTTAGTAAACCTGGGGAGGTTTAATTGAACCCAGGTTAAGAACCCCTGAGACTGGCTTAGTAAGCCTGGGGAGGTTTAATTGAACCCAGGTTAAGAACCGCTGAGACTGGCTTAGTAAACCTGTGGAGGTTTAATTGAACCCAGGTTAAGAACCGCTGAGACTGGCTTAGTAAACCTGGGGAGGTTTAATTGAACCCAGGTTAAGAACCGCTGAGACTGGCTTAGTAAACCTGGGGAGGTTTAATTGAACCCAGGTTAAGAACCGCTGAGACTGGCTTAGTAAACCTGGGGAGGTTTAATTGAACCCAGGTTAAGAACCGCTGAGACTGGCTTAGTAAACCTGGGGAGGTTTAATTGAACCCAGGTTAAGAACCGCTGAGACTGGCTTAGTAAACCTGCAGGTTAAGAACCGCGGATCTAGAGAGTCAGGGAATGGCGGGATAAGACACTTGCTTCAAAGTTTTTTCCTCCTCTGAAGATTTTCAGCTGACCTTTTGCTCTTCATCTTTTCTTTGATCTGACACACGGAAAGAAAGGAAAGGACAGGGAATTCTGCAACCCATGGCCACTGTGCTGCACTTGTTTCTAGTCCACTTTGACGAGTCATGTTTCTGGGACAACCTTTACCGTCCTGTTTACTATCCCCCTCTCCTTTCTATCGACATTTGCTTGACAGCTAAATCTCTTGGCGTACCTCTATGCTGTGAACATAAAAATATTTATTTTTGTAATCGGTGTTTTGGATGAAAGTTTGATCTTTTGAAAAAAAAGTTGAATAATAAATAATTCCTTTAGGTTACTGACGAGAATGTTGAAGTGAGTATGCCATAGTGGTGGGTATGTTATTTGTGAGTTTTGTTTTGGTAAGTCATTGCTGTAATATATGCTTCCTTCTGTCAGTTTTCTCATAGATGTTGTGCATAAGAAAAGTTTTGATGTTCATTTTGTGATAATATTCTCTTGCCCACAATGTATCTTTGTCCACTTTTTTGGAGCGCATTTCTTTGTAATTTTGTGCTGGTAGTGGTAGATCACAAAGTTGGTATTTTAAAATGTTCCCGCCTCAAATCTTTACTACTCTTGGGTACAATGAATTCAGTTTCTCTGTGGATTTTTAGAATAAATTTGATCTAATCTGACAAAGTCAGTTGCGTTGTTCTCTTTGACTTGACTGAGCTGTAGAAAGGAAGGGGATTGTTTGTCCAAAGCTGATAAAGTACAAGCACATCCTGGGAATAAGACCGGTGAAATGGTGTCTTTGTGGTCTTTGTTCTGTCTTTGTGGTCTTTGTTCTGTCTTTGTGGTCTTTGTTCTGTCATCTTTTCTTCTATAACAGTGAACATTGAGTTTGTACTACTTTTTGTGAGCAGAGTACAGCAGCATTGAGCCTTGTAGTTTTGTCCTGTCACTACTCATTGACTGTCAGTCAAGGCTACAACAAGTCAATGTTCCTCTGAGGGGGAAGAACAGACATGATACTTTATATTGTCATTCAATAACCTGCATGTTTTCTGTGTAGGTTTATTTAATGGTGAGATATACATGGCAAAGCTTTCTGTGTTGTGTGTTTGATTTTTTTCCAAGATTACTTTTTCTCTGTATTGCTTCGCTTTCCTTTTTATTTTGCTGCTTCTCACCACAAGCTTAGGAAGACATCATTGCTTGTGAATCTGTGCCGGGCTTTGGAGTTTGTTCTGCTGTTGTTTTTTTATGTACTCTTTTTGTATACTTATTTGGTGGATGTTGGCCTCAGTTTGCAGTAATGTTTCTGTACCTTTAGTATCCATACTTCAGTTTTTAGCTGACTTACTGTCATTACAGATGCAAATGAACATAGTGAATAACTTTGCATAAAATGAAGCAATACAACAACTTTTCTAAGTTAAACAAACAAAAACATTTAGCTGTAATAATTTTTCTCTTCTTGGGTACTTGTGGGTGCGTCAAGTGTTCTGTTGTGATTGGACCACTGTGGGTGCGTCAAGTGTTCTGTTGTGATTGGACCACTGTGGGTGCGTCAAGTGTTCTGTTGTGATTGGACCACTGTGGGTGCGTCAAGTGTTCTGTTGTGAACTCTGCTCAACTTGTAGATTGGACCACTGTGGATGATGTTGAACCAGTTCGAGCTCTAAAGTCCAGATTTCACAGACCAAGTGGACTTCCTAGTTTTTTGACTTCATTAGTTATGGAGAAAATAGAAAAAAGGAATTTGAAGTACAGACTTTTGTCTGTGAACTGAACATTTTTAGGATGGATATTGTATTGGAGATTGCATGAACAGAGTCGTGGAATAAGCTTTTTTTGTCTCCGTATGTCACTCTATTATTGCAACCAAGCTTACAGTCTTTTTTTTTATATTAAGAGTTTTTGTTGTTTTGAACAATAAGCTTTCCATGTTGTCCTTTCACTTAGAGCTATGGTTTATCTTTTTTTTTTTTGTCATTGTTGTCCAGAATTTTAGTTAATATTCGTGTTTTAAAGGGAAGTTTTTGAGTCAAATATCCCTCTGAAGAAGGCTTTTTTCTTATTTCGTGATAATTCTATTTCTTTGGGGTATAGTTTCTGTCCGGAGGTTCCAACCAGTTTCCACAAAAACAGGCTTATTACTTGATCGTAACAGACACTTCGTTCTGCCAAATCCTCCAGTCCCAGGTGAGGGAAAGGGATGTAGTCCGAACATTTTGTCCAACTCCCTGAGCTCTAGGCTCTCACAGTGGAAAGTCTGACACAGACACAGACGTGGGGGGACCAGACAGCTACATACACAGACG